GAAATATCTTCCAAATTATATATATTTCTGGAGAGTAGATTCCGCAAGTAGGTTTCTTTTTCGGCACCTCTGACGTAAATATATCGTGCCTGTCTTGTTATTTCACGTAGTTTTAAATATCTATTCGGCAAAATCGACGATGACTTGACGAGACGAATCGATTTCTATTACATTATCGAATTCGGCGTAAATAATACAATTAACGGTTTCTGTGAAAGCCTTCTCGAATCGCACTTCTAATCGCAAAGTACCATGTCTTACGAGATTCCAATGCCCTGCGTAATTAGCAGACAGATCGGGCGTGAGATCAAAAGCGAATAACGTATATCCCTTGGAATAATCGTCTCTACTTATAGAATTTCCTTCGTTCAAAAAATGGATGCCCGTTCCCGCGAAGAGAGTTTGATAAGCTTCGACGTAAAGCGGTTCCTCCGGCGAGAAAACCGGTTGTAACGGCCTACTAGGAATTTGCATACCGTCGACGTATAGCGAGAAGAAATTTATTCCGTAATTTTTGAAATTAAACGGATTTAATTTTCTATCACCATTAAACGCTTTATTATTAACAAAGCCGACTATTATCCTTTTCGGAAGTTGACCGAGTATTACATTATCTAACGATTCACCCACAACACCACTGTGAATCGTAAATGTTTTAACTTCGACTCTCGTGAGCGGATATTTGGCCGTAACTTTACTCAACATTCTAGCATGCGCGAGTAATAATCCGGCGCTTATTTTCGCCCTTCTCACGAGTAAGCTCGCATCCAGTTTATGAATTTTCAACGATGAACCGTTACTGTCCATAAGACAAAACGAATCTTTCGAACGGACGAGTCTCAAGCGTAATTCTACATCGTTAATTAAAAATTTGTCTTGATTGAAAACGTCGCAATGGAGATGTCCTACAAGATCTAGCGCGATGGAGATGCCCTACAAGATCTAGCGCTCGACCGCCGTGAATGTAACGCGCGCGTCTCACGAGAGCGGAATTTGGTGATTTTGATTCCACCGGTTCGTCCATTTGACCGGGTGTATCCGCGTCCCATAGACAGGAGGTTAGATGGGAAGTTTTTGCGGGTGAAGAATAATTTATTAACGCCTCGATGTACGCGCGGTACGCGTAAGCGTTGTTTGGAGGCGATACGAGCTTTTGGTTGAAATACACGTCGATCTGGTTAAACATGGAATGAAGTAAATGATTTACGGGGCCTATAGTGGCCGCGGCGGTTGCGCCCGTAGTATGCCCCGAGGAATCGCCCGGTGTTTCTACGCGTACGCGAAGACTTAACATGGTGTGCATGAGATCTAAATATTCTTCTCCGTGACCCGGAATGACGAATTCTATCGGAGAATCGTCCGAGAGCGAAGTCACGGGTTTTTAATGAATCCATTGCGAACTCTCGATACTAGTTTGTGTGGGCGGTAAAAAAAAGAGATCGAGTTTGTTCTTTAAACACTCGCTCGAATGCGTGTGAAGAAAGGACATGCTTATTTACCGCAAATTTTTTCGTCGTCTCTGTAATTCTACCTGTTAGATTTGTTTAGAATATATGTCGTTTAAGAAAATATGTCGGATACGGTGCGCTTACTACCAATTTTACGCCGTTTCGCGGATGTCTTAAGTCTTTTAACCGTTGTGCGATTTTTTCTTTTCTTATTTTTCGATGTTTTTGTATTTGTTCTTTTTTTCCCTCGCGTCTTGCGCTTTGCGTCGTCGTCGTCGTCGTCGTCGTCGTCGTCGTCGTCGTCGTCGTCGTCGTCGTCGTCGTCGTCGTCGTCGTCGTCGTCGTCGTCGTCGTCGTCGTCGTCGTCGTCGTCGTCGTCGTCGTCGTCGTCGTCGTCGTCGTCGTCGTCGTCGTCGTCGTCGTCGTCGTCGTCGTCGTCGTCGTCGTCGTCGTCGTCGTCGTCGTCGTCGTCGTCGTCGTCGTCGTCGTCGTCGTCGTCGTCGTCGTCGTCGTCGTCGTCGTCGTCGTCGTCGTCGTCGTCGTCGTCGTCGTCGTCGTCGTCGTCGTCGTCGTCGTCGTCGTCGTCGTCGTCGTCGTCGTCGTCGTCGTCGTCGTCGTCGTCGTCGTCGTCGTCGTCGTCGTCGTCGTCGTCGTCGTCGTCGTCGTCGTCGTCGTCGTCGTCGTCGTCGTCGTCGTCGTCGTCGTCGTCGTCGTCGTCGTCGTCGTCGTCGTCGTCGTCGTCGTCGTCGTCGTCGTCGTCGTCGTCGTCGTCGTCGTCGTCGTCGTCGTCGTCGTCGTCGTCGTCGTCGTCGTCGTCGTCGTCGTCGTCGTCGTCGTCGTCGTCGTCGTCGTCGTCGTCGTCGTCGTCGTCGTCGTCGTCACTGGTGTTTACACACCATTTATCCGGAGAACCACAAGTAGCTTGAGTACTAACGTTCGTATTGCCGTAGACGTTATTATTTCGCTCGATCAACCAATATTTTAATTTATATACGTTGCGTAATGCGCAATGAAAGATTCCGAATTTTCGAAATCCGTGGTAACCACAATAACGTCCGCGCACTTCTCCCTCTGACAGATTTTTGAATGCGGGAGAAATATCTTCCAAATTATATATATTTCTGGAGAGTAGATTCCGCAAGTAGGTTTCTTTTTCGGTACCTCTAACGTAAATGTATCGTGCCTGTCTTGTTATTTTACGTAGTTGCGATGTAAAATATTTCGGATTAGCTTCACCGTCGAACCATTCGATGCCGTGATAATTTCGTGTAAGCCAGTTATTTTCATGTCTTACATTTCTTGGTAAATCGTCAAATGAATGCGGAGGCATCATAATCCAATGTCCGACGAATGGAGCGTCAAGCGCGATAATAGCGACTTCTTTGGGGATAAACTTCGCATTGGCATCGCGGAAACCTTGTATGTCGATGACTATATCCATTTTGTGAAGACTGGAGCGCTCTCGATAGCGCGGTTATAATAGTTTAAACTGCTCGCGAAGCGTCGACGTTCGTGTCTCGAATGAAACTGAATTCTTTTCTGTTATATTGTATATTTTTTGATATTTTATGCTGTTAGCATTTTGATCGAATGTGGAGGGGAGAAAAAGGAGGGGAAATTTTCCGAGTATTACGTTGTAACGGTCAAATACTTGAGAGCGATAAATATCTATCCGGCAAAATCGACGATGACTTGACGAGACGAATCGATTTCTATTACATTATCGAATTCGGCGTAAATAATACAATTAACGGTCTCTGTGAGAGCCTTCTCGAATCGCACTTCTAATCGTAAACTACCATGTCTCACGAGATTCCAATGTCCCGCGTAATTAGCTGATAGGTCGGGTGTGAGATCAAAAGCGAATAGCGTATAATCCTTGGAATAATCGTCTCTACTTATAGAATTTCCTTCGTTCAAAAAATGGATGCCCGTTCCCGCGAAGAGAGTTTGATAAGCTTCGACGTAAAGCGGTTCCTCCGGCGAGAAAACCGGTTGTAACGGCCTACTAGGAATTTGCATACCGTCGACGTATAGCGAGAAGAAATTTATTCCGTAATTTTTGAAATTAAACGGATTTAATTTTCTATCACCATTAAACGCTTTATTATTAACAAAACCGACTATTATCCTTTTCGGAAGTTGACCGAGTATTACATTATCTAACGATTCACCCACAACACCACTGTGAATCGTAAATGTTTTAACTTCGACTCTCGTGAGCGGATATTTGGCCGTAACTTTACTCAACATTCTAGCATGCGCGAGTAATAATCCGGCGCTTATTTTCGCCCTTCTCACGAGTAAGCTCGCATCCAGTATATGAATTTTCGACGATGAACCGTTACTGTCCATAAGACAAAACGAATCTTTCGAACGGACGAGCCTTAAGCGTACTTCTACACCGTTAATTAAAAATTTGTCTTGATTGAAAACGTCGCAATGGAGATGCCCTACAAGATCTAGCGCTCGACCGCCGTGAATGTAACGCGCGCGTCTCACGAGAGCGGAATTTGGCGATTTTGATTCCACCGGTTCGTCCATTTGACCGGGTGTATCCGCGTCCCATAGACAGGAGGTTAGATGGGAAGTTTTTGCGGGTGAAGAATAATTTAATAACGCCTCGATGTACGCGCGGTACGCGTAAGCGTTGTTTGGAGGCGACACGAGCTTTTGATTGAAATACACGTCGATCTGATTGAACATGGAATGAAGTAAATGATTTACGGGGCCTATAGTGGCCGCGGCGGTTGCGTCGTGTGCAGTATGTCCCGAGGAATCGCCCGGTGTTTCTACGCGTACGCGAAGACTTAACATGGTGTGCGTGAGATCTAAATATTCTTCTCCGTGACCCGGAATGACGAATTCTATCGGAGAATCGTCCGAGAGCGAAGTCACGGGTTTGTAATGAATCCATTGCGAACTCTCGATACTAGTTTGTGTGGGCGGTAAAGAAAAGAGATCGAGTTCGCTCTTTAAACACTCGCTCGAATGCGTGTGAAGAAAGGACATGCTTATTTACCGCAAATTTTTTTGTCGTCGCTGTAATTCTCACTGTTAGATGTGTTTAGAATATATGCCGTTTAAGAAAATATGTCGGATACGGTGCGCTTTCTACCAGTTTTACGCCGATTCTCGGATGTCTTAAGTCTTTTCACCGTTGTGCGCTTTTTTCTTCTCTTATTTTTCGATGTTTTTGTATTTGTTCTTCCCTCGCCTCGCGTCTTGCGCTTTGACAAACTTTTCTTACGCACCTGGCGTCGTCTACGCAACGTCGCGGATTTAGCGATGCGCGTGCCCGCCGAATTTTCGATGTTTTTGTATTTGTTCTTTTTTTCCCTCGTGTCTGGCGCTTTGACGAACTTTTCTTACGCTCCTGGCGTCGTCTACGTAATGTCGCGGATTTAGCGATGCGCGTGTTGAGCCCGCCGAAAGGAAACTGAGCTACATGCATTTTTGCATCCGACTTATAACCCGAACCCTTCATCAGACTACTTATTTTTTCTTTAGCTTTTCTCTTAAGAGATTCTTCAAATTCTTCAAATCGGTGTTTGGCCGCTACCTTAAATGGCATATTGTTTTCAACATCTTCGATTATATTAGCACCGGCACGTTTCCCCACAGCACCGCCGCGACTGCCGCCGTTTTGTAACTCGTCGTAATACGTTGAATAATAATCCATTATCGTTTAATTTTTTATCGCGGTCTCTAATTATTATTATGTTATCTACTCGATACGCCTAAAGTGTAATGTCACTGTCAGCGTTCCAAATTCGAATGGTATACTCTGTCCTAGTTGATCTCTTATATCTATCTCGATTGTGCGAAAAGACGCTTGACGCAGGGCAATGTATTGAGTGTGCGAGAAATGCTTTATTCGAGTAGACGCGAACGCGTAATCATTTCCAGCATCGAGTGCGACTATTCGCAAAAGAGGAGATTGTATATCGCCAGTAATATAGGGTTTGCAAATATCGCAATAGACGAAGAGCTTGTCGGGGATACCGCGCAACAAACTAGCTGGTTCGGCGGCTATTATTACGCGTTCGCGCGGAAATACGTAAAATGGCGATGTATAAATTTCAACATCGTCATAAATCCAGGAAGGTAAAGCGCCTGATGTACCGGTATTATTTTCAATTTTACCATGCTTCTCGTCGTCATTCTGTATATTGAAGTCGGTTTCATTTAAGAGCCATAACGGTAAATGATCCACTACGCTAGCATTGAGCTTATTGCGCGTATCGAAACCGAGTATTCGGCAGAGTTTTTCGGAAAAATTTACATAATGAATCATATCACATTTCATAATGTCGCAGGAAAGTTTCATAATAATTTTGCGTCCGATAATAGCTCCAAATTGCCAATGGATACGCGAACCCACGGATTTTGCAGAGTAATTCACAGCTTCTATAATACATATGAATAACCATCATTATAGCTCTTGAGATTACGAATATCGATCAAATCAGCCTCCCATAAGTCATCGTTATTTGTCGTTATAATGTAAGCGTGGAAATTTTCGACGTACCGGACGATGTAACGTGTATGCGTCTTGCGATTTAAGCCAGTCGATGACCTCGTTACGTGTGAAATTCGATTTAGCAGCTCGCGATAAATTATCCGTCGCCGAATAGCCGGCATAGTGCGAGGGACTGTAATACAATTTTTCGAGTTCCATAATTCGAGTTTGCTCTAGTCGAGCAATTCTTTTCTTTTCTTTGTCGGAAAATCTGCGTAACTCGTTACTGTTTTGTCGGCTACAACAAAGCGGTACGTTACCCTTTAGCGTATTGAAAATGCACTCTTGAATGCACTTTATGAGCTTATTGTCGGCGGCTCGCAAGAATACGGTTCTTTGATTTTTTTTCAAATGACACAAGGTTTTAAAAAGGCATAAGTTTCTTTCATCGATAGACCGCCTAGCATTCTCTATTGCTCTATTCGATGTCATCAACTTTTTAACAGCGTAATGCCGAGTATCGTCGGGAAAGATGCACGTGCGAAAGCGATATTCGTCGATTGTTTCAAATCAAGCAATAAATACCCGTGTGGCCTCGATGTAGCATCGTAGTACGCTTTTTCCATAAACTTTAGATCGTCAAGGCGGTGATATTTATCATTTGTTAGAAAACGCGTTCCGTGAAATTCACGCGTATGCGGTAAATTCATGCGAACGTGGTGATTATGTGGGGTTGTCTTTTCATTCTGCGGATTTATATATCTCATGGACCTGCCGGATTATCTTTTCGTCCTGCGCGTGACTTGACGTATGAAGATGTTTGGGGAATTGTGAGTTCGGTAGCGCAGAGCGCGGGAGGTCTCGATATTGCGGAACGCTTCGATATTCGAGTTTTTAACGTTACGGTTCCTTCAGGGCGGGGACGTGTGAAATTAACACGCGAAGATATTGCGAAGCGTTCGATACTAACAATAAAAAATTCCGATAATTTATGTTTTCCCCGGGCTCTTGTTGTAGCGACAATTTATTGCAAACGCGGTAATTTATGTACGGGAGAATTGCATGAAAAATGGAATGATGTAAGATGCACGCGATCCCCGCTTCAACGGGAACTCACGTTACAATTAGCACGGGATGTCGGTGTTACGATACCTGAAGAGATACGAGCAAACTCAAATGAATAAGAATTCGCATCTTCTCGTGCTGCTTATATATCGAAATATAAAGAAAAAGTGGGGGAAAAGTTTGCGCAGACAGTCAAATAACAGGAAAAATCGTGATTTTTCACGTTTAAACTTGTTCATCACGCTAAAAATTACATGAAAACATCTAGAAACATCTAGAAATTAGATTCGTTACAAGGGAAAATCTTTCTCTAAAATTTTTCTCTAAATACAATTACAATATGTTACAAAGCGTAAATAAAAGCTTAGCAACCGTATAATAAATTTTTATAGCCTATATTGTTAGGAGAAAAATGTTATAAAGGACGAATTTCTAATTGACATAATCCTAGCTTTTACGAAAATTTTAAAAGATTTTCACAACAAAGTCTTTACTTTGACACCTCTATAATAAAAACACATGTCGGACACAGCAATCTCGAAATCATTTGTGTCATATGCAACCTCTTCGCAACGGGGTTAGTTCCTCTACCGAACCGTCCTCGTCAACGACGACGACTACGTTGATATCGGATACGCGCGGAACAACAAAGAGTAATGAAACTGTTGGTGAAGAGGTAAACGAGCGCAAAAAAGGCTTCGTGGCATTTATATTTTATGATTTCGAAACGCGGCAAGACGAGACGCTCGAAGGTACGATGAACGTGAATAAACATGTACCTACCCTCTGCGTGGCGTAACAGATTTGCGAAGTGTGCGCGCAGGAAAACGACATGTCCGTGCGATGCCGTTGGTGCGGGATACGCGAATTCATATTCAGACATGACCCAGTGAAACAATTTGCCGAATTCGCAATGCGAAGGACGAAACGTTTCAACCAGATCATATGCATAGCACATAATGCGAAAGCGTTCGACGCGCAGTTTATTATGTCGTAGTTGTTGCGAAACATTTGCGCAGACATCCTGCACGCACGACAACATTAATGAGCGCGAATTCGAGGGTACGTGGGTGTCGTGCGAATTACGAAAGGCAGTCGAAAAAGGTTATCTCGTGACGGCAGTAAGATTTGGCAATATAAAGTTAGCCAATTCGATCGCGCATCGCGACAAGGCGGTTTGTTCGCCGAATATATAAACTCATTCTTACAATTAAAACAAGAAGCAAGCGGATGGCCGGGGGAATGCGGTGACGACGATGACGCTAAAGAACGATATCTGCAGGAGTACGAAAAAACTGAAGGTATTGTTCTCGATAAGCGTAACATCGCGCTGAACCCCGGTTTACGATCGGTTGCAAAACTCTGTTTAAATTCATTTTGGGGAAAATTCGGCCAGCGGGCCAATTTGCCGAATACCGAGGTTATGAGAACGCTACAACGTTTTCTGACATTACTGACGAGCGCCGAGCATGAGATAACCGATATATTACCCGTGAACGACTAGGTAATATATGTTTCGTGGCGATTGCGACAAGTGGTCGTCACGCCCTCACCTATAACTAATGTTGCGATAGCGGCGTATACGACGGCTCAAGCACGCTTAAAATTATATGAATATTTAGAACGCTTAGATCGACGCGTGTTATATTATGATACTGATTCCTGTATATACGTAAGCACAGGTAAAGCGAATGAGTATGAACCGCATACGGGAAATTTTCTGGGTGACATGACGGACGAGCTCGAAAGCTACGGCCGTGGTAGTTATATCGAGGCGTTCGTGTCCGGTGGCCCAAAATTTTATGCCTATGTTGTTCGTATGCCGGACGGGCGTACGCGTGAATGCTGTAAAGTAAAGGGCATAACCCTAAACTATGAAAACTCTCGGTTGGTTAATTTTAACAGCATTAAGAATTTATTGTTAAATAAAGAGAGAGCACAGGAAAATGAAAAGAACGGAGAAGAATTGCCGAAAACTTCGATAAATCTATGCTTTAGAGCAATTCGGCGTACAGCGTTTCACGAAATCGTAACACGCGACGAAACTAAAGTATGCGCACCCGTATTACTAAAGCGTAGATTTATCGATAGTCGAAATTCGCTACCGTATGGTTATGTATTTGAACAATGATTTTTCTATTTTTTTCTCGACTATCTCTTTTATCGCAATATTATGTAATATAATTTCGTGTACTTTTCGCAGCGGTGAA